GGGGGGGCGACAAACGGACATCGGGTCCCAAACCCGTAGCAAGATTTCCAGCGCATAGCCCCACTCCTTCGAGGCAAGACAGAACCCTGGCTAGCATATCGCCACCCTTGCCAGCAGGCCACCAATGGGTGGGGGGGGGGGGGGGAAATCCCCGCCACCTTTCCGTCAAATCCCAACCTCTTGACGCAAATGCGTCCCCGAAGAAGTCGGCCACACGTTGGGACCTACATGGGCCACATCACGTCTCTGAGACGGATCACGCGGTGCCCTCTTTGTCCAGCTTCCCGCCCCCGCTCAACAAGAGCCCAGATGCTCCCATTTCGAGGCCTTTTTTATTTCTCACTCCCCAAGCGCGAATGGATCCCCATCCTCAGGGCATCTCTGCCCGAAAGAGAGTGCTGGGCACTTCCTTACGGTGCATGAACGCATGTGAATATGTATGTGCGTGTATGTGCGTGTATGTGCGTGTGTGTGTGGGGGGGGGGGGGCACACCCACCCGTAGACCAGACCGTCGGCCAAGGAGCAGGGGCATCCTGGTCAGCCGAAGCAGTGACTGACACTTAAGCAAGAGCCATCACCAGCCAGCCGGCTTCACCACAACCATGGATGTCCTCCCTCCTGCCCGCCCTTGCTCCCTTTGTCGCCCTCGTCTCTCCGCCCTGCCACACGAACCATGTCCGCCCTGCAGGCCATCCGCTATGAGCATGGCTCCCTGAGCGTCCTGGACCAGCTCCTCCTGCCTCACACGTCGGAGTACGTGCGTGTGGCAAATGCCCAGGATGGCTTTTCGGTCATCCGGAATATGCAGGTTCGCGGTGCGCCGGCCATCGCCCTGGTGGCCGCTCTGGCGGTGGCCGTCGATCTGCAGACCATGGACCTCGACGCCCAAACGGCCGAGGGCCTGCGTACGCACATTTCCCAATCCTGGGCCCTGCTCAGGACCAGCCGGCCGACGGCGGTCAATCTGTTCGACGCCGCGGCCGATGTGGAGGCGCTTCTGGCCAATGCCCCGGCCGATGCCAGCCCTGCCGACCTGGTTGAACGCTACGTGGCCTTTGCTGAGCGTCTCCTCCGCGAGGATGTCCAGACCAATCGCAACATCGGCCACCATGGACTGGAGTTCCTGCGCACCGCCCGTGCTGAGTCCCTCACCACCGGCGGGCTGACCCTGCTGACGCATTGCAACACGGGCAGCCTGGCCACCGCCGGGTATGGCACCGCGCTGGGGATCATCCGTGCGGCCCACGAGGCCGGGTGTCTGAAGGAGGCCCTCTTCACCGAGACCCGGCCCTACAACCAGGGCAGCCGCCTGACCGCATATGAGCTCCACGTTGAGCAGATTCCCAACCGCATGATCTGCGACAACATGGTCGCTGCGGCCATCAGCCGCCTGGGGGTGGATGCGGCTATTGTCGGCGTGGATCGGGGTGTTGCTTTCCCCCCCCCCCCCCCCGCGCGTCCCTCCTTCAGCATCACCGCGATCATCCATGCGCGGCACCTCGCATGCAACCCCAACTCACAAGCATCTCCCCCCCCCCCCCCCGTAACCGACTGCCCGATTGCGAAAGCCTTGCCGCGAATGGCGATACTGCCAACAAGATCGGCACGCTGCAGCTGGCCCTCGCATGCCAGCACTATGGCATTCCCTTCATTGTGGCTGCGCCGACGACCTCCATCGACCTGAACACGGCCTCCGGCGAGGACATTGTCATCGAGGAGCGCCCGGCTGGCGAGCTGCTGCACATCACTGGCCTTGAGGTTGGCGAGGGGGCTTCCCCAGGGCGCATGACCACCATTCGTGTGAGCCCGGCCTCGACCGGCTGCTGGAACCCCTCGTTCGATGTGACTCCGGCCTCGCTGATTGCGGCCATCGTCACCGAGCGTGGCACCTTCGTTCGCGAGCCCGGCGCCGACACCTTCAACCTGCGTGCCGCGCTTCAGTAGGCCCTCCCCGAAGGCGCAGACCCCATTTCACCATGCATGCCTGAAAATAGACTAGATCCGTGCGAGCCGGGGTGCCTCTTCCACAAATGCCCCAGCAGGCAGACGGGGAGAAAAGCCAGCGACGGGGGGGAGGGGGGGGGGCGGGACCAGGCAGCGCCAGCCCACAGAAGGCCACACACGGCCGCGAGCGCGGAGGCGATGCCCCCAGATCGGCCGGCAGAGGGGCCACCTCGGGACTCCCCCGGATTTCACCCAGTTGGGCGTAGCCTACACGGGGGACCGGGAAAAGCGGGGCGGACCCGCGCCCACCTGGGCTCCGGTGTGCGCTGGAAAAAAAAAAGCCGAAAACCCACTTGCGCCCGGGGCGGGGGGGAGCTGATGATGAGATGCGAGGCAACGTCCCGTGGGGCGGGCAAGGGGGGGGGCCAACCGACCCCCCAACGAACTTGACGAAAACCGGCTTTCAGTGGGCGTCTCCCGGGGGACCGGGGGCGGGAGAGCAGACCAACACCACGCACACACACACACACACACACACACACACGGAGGTGCGCCGGGCAGGAACGGGACACGAACCTCAGTCCCCGCGAGTCGGCCGATCTGGCCGATTGCCCCCCCCCCCCCCCCCCCGTCCCTGGCGCAGGCCCAACTGATCCGGTCTCGGGCAAACACTCCCCCACTGGCGAGGCCCGCCCTGTTCCCACAGCCCCTTGTGTGGACCCGAGGTCCGGGGGTCACACAGAGAGCCGCCGTTCGGGGCTTATCTGTAAGCCGGGCATCGATGGTGGGCGGGGGCGGGGGACGGCCCCAGGCGTGCCAGGGGCAGGTCGCACGCTGTTTTTTTTATAGCCCAAAGATCCCGGCGAGCTTCCGGATACAGAAACTGTTATTGTTTCGGCCGAACAGGCCCCCCCCCCCCGCCTCTCCCACCGCCCCCAGTTGAGACGTTCCCAGGCTGGCGGAATCTTTGCCTCCCACACCCCGGGGCTCGGACGCAGGTGCCCGCTGCTCCCTAGCGACCCGCGGACTGTCCTGGCTTTTCAGTAGGCCCACTCGCCGGGGCGAATTTCCCGCCCGGGCACCCTCTCCATCCCAATCCTCCCCCCCCCCCC